TTGGCCATCCAAGGAGACGCTCTGCGCGGAGTATTTGCGGACCTTCAACCTTGTAGTTTCTCACTTTTTCCTTTTTTTTTTTTTTTTTAATGTTGAAGGTCTGGATAAATTTGCTTGACTCTTTTGATTTACGTAGATCAAAGTGGAAAAAAACAACGACAAGGGACGCAGGGAAGTTGGAAATGGGTGTAAACTATCCTTTTTTTAAAAAAAGAAAAAAGAAAACGTGGGTTCCGTTGTTGTTTTTTGTACATACGAGATTAAATAGGCTGTTTTTGACTGAAAACCATCAGCCACCCCTTTAACTTGCAGATTAAATTTGTTGATTCCCTCCCTGCCTTAAACTGATTTGCCCCAGGCTGCCTGAGGAGTTGTGAATTTGGGGGCTGGGGGGGTGGGTGGAGAGATTTCGGGGGAAAGAGGGGGGGGGTTGCCTGGGAAGGCTCTACCGCAGTCTTCCTCGAATGAAACCTGCCACATCTGAAAAGCAGCAAATAGCTGCTCGATGGGTGGACTTCAACTCCCAGGAAGCTGGCTGGGGAATTCTGGGAGTTGAAGTCCACCCAACTTCCAGAAACACTGAGATAAGGGAAGGCTGAATCATATATAGAGACGCATTTCTCTATATTGTTGAAACTGAACAGGTGATATCCTGATCCATGACATGGCTGGGCCAAAAGCCGTTTCTGCCAGCGGCCCATTGGTTTCAGTTGCCACCGTGCCCGTATTTCTTTGGAGAGAATGTCTGCAGGACGTTGCACACCCTGTGCCAACGTTCTGGCGGTCTACAACGAAGCCGAGCGTTGTGCCCAACGGGCTCGATTAAAAGTGGCTTGGCTGGTTTTGCTAAAAAAAAAAAAAAAAACGGAACACATTAAATTAAACCCATCCGTTAGTTCTGAAAAAAGTTGAAAGCCATAACCAGTTGAAAGACCGAATTATTTTAGATTGCTAGATGACTCTTGTGTTTGGAATCCATCCATCATAACGTTTATTGTCAATGCACCACGTGTGTTACAATGAAATTGAAAAGGGATCGGGCTCCGGATTTTGAGGTTGAGTCAGGTATTTCTAGACTAACAACCGTCACTGAGGCTGGAGTTACAGCGGTAAGTCGTGCCTGCCATTAAGTAGATCACCAGATGGCCCCGCCTGGTTTTGCAGCCTGCTTTGTGGCAGTTGTTAAGCGAATCCGTTTTAGCCAATGGACTTTTTTCACCCCCCAGAAATCAGAATAAAGGTCGGTTTCCTGCAAAAAAATACAAAACACGAACATGTAGTATGGATGCTACAAACAGCCATAAATATGGATCAGTAGCATCAAGCACCCCAAAATGCAATCATGTGGTCGCAGGGGGTGAGACAGCCCCATCGGAATTTCCAAAATGGGTCGTACGCATCTCGGGATGTATGTTGCAACTCTGTACTGTCGGTCACAAGTGGAGAACCACCTGTAGTTTTCTGTATATCAGATTGTGAGAATGTTAGAAAGCTGGCTTATTGACATCCTTCTGCAGCCGGAGCCAACAAGGTCAGCGTGGCAAGATCATCCTGCGACATCTCTGTGAGACCTGGAGAGGGTTGACAGGGTATCATGGTTGCCTTGATTGGTTGGCTTGATTCCTTGAGCAAACCATCATAGGTTGCCTATCTCCCCCGGGCTAAACCACAAACAGGATGAGAGCTACTGTGCTCTGCCCCCTCCTCCACCTCTTGGAGATATGTACAGTTGGGTTTATGGTTTGGCGCCAACCGAGACCTCGGGGCAGGGTAATTGGGTGGCAGTGGTCATCCAAGAATCTGAATAACATTAATGGAGTTGGAAGGGACCCTGTAGGTCATCTGGTCCAACCCCCAGCCCGATGGATGAGCAAGTCAAGATCCCAAAAATGTTGGCTTGGGAATTCTGGGAGTTGAACTTTATATATCTTAAAGCGGGCTGAGTGGAGAATTCTGGGAGTTGAAGTCCACCCGTGTTAAATAAGGTGTCCTGCTTGGGCAGGGAGTGGGACTAGATTAACAGATTAACCGAAAGGGACCTTGTAGGAGGTCATCTAATCCAACCCTTCCCCCCCACCCCAAGCAGGAGACCCTCCACCATTTCTGACAGATGGCAGTCCAGTCTCTTCTTGAAAGCCTCCAGGGATGAAGCTTCCACAACTTCTGAAAGCAACTTCTGTTCCATGGGTGGATTGTTCTCCCTGTCAGAAAATTCCTCCTTATTTCCAGGTTGAAAAATCTCTCCTTGTTCAGTTTCCATCCATTAATCCTTATCTCGCCTTCAGGTGCTTTAAAGAATAGCTTGACCCCCTCCTCACTTCTCAGTGGGAGTTTTGTCCTTTTGGATTTGAAAGATTATGTTAATATCACCTTATAATAAGGTAGAATCAGCTTATCTGGGCCAGTTTCCTGTCTGGCCTACCTGCTAAGGCTGACCCCTCTTTTCTACAGAGTAGTTCAACCCAGAGCAGGGGGACCTGTGATGGAAACCCCCGGCTGCTCCCTGCAGTCCTGGTCCCCCCCCCCCTCCCCGCCTCCCCTCCCCGCCTCCGGCTACCTTGGGCGTCATGTCGTGGGTGATGCAGAACTCCAGGTGCTGAAGGATGCTCTCCATCGTGTGGTACGGCTGCTGCTTGGTGGTGCGCAGGTACTTCTGCATGGCCCGGGCCATGGAGGCGAAGATGGCCTGGGCGGCCTCCCGGGGGTCCATGATCTCCCGGGGGTTCTTCTGGTCCTCCTCCTGGAGCCGTTTGATGTGGGTGAAGGCCCCTTCCACGGCCACCACCAGCCTGCATGGACCTTCAGGGACCACGTTCCCAAGTCTCCAGCTGTGAGATCCTGTTCCCAAAACTGGCTTGTAGGATCAGTTGGAGTGTTGCTACTCTACCATCCTACCTTCAGGAGGCCATCTTGAGGTTGCAGTAGAGTCCCTCAGGCTTACGGTCTTGGAGTCTTCAGTCTATCTAAGTTAGGGTTAGGTCTTCAGAAGACTTGCCTTCAGAAGATGTTGGTGCTCCTCTACTGGAGGTTTTGAAGAAGAGATTGGACATGGAGTGGTCTAGGGTCTCCTGCTTTAGCAGAGGGTTGGGCTGGATGGCCTCCGAGTCCCCTTCCACCTCTGGTGTTCTATTATTCTGTTGCTCCTGGACCTCTTCTTCAACCCTTCTCCATCACTCTCCACTGGACAGAGAACGGCAATTCCTGCAATCTCCCCAGATACGGTGACTTTGGGGGGAAGAGACCGAGGTTCCCTTCCTTTGGAGCGACAGCCTCGTCCTTCTCGCCGTTCCCTCCTTCTCTTGGATCCAGTCGCTGGCAAAGATGGCTGAAGCAGCAGCAGCTGCTGCCTGCACTCGGTGAAGGCCAAGAGGCCTCCCCACGGACCCCTCGGTAGCTTCTGTCCCCGTCTGGAAGCCCCACAACACGGGAGGAGAGGATGAGGCTGAAAAGGGGCCAGGCCTGGAACAGTCCCCAAAGCAGATTTGGGTTGGCTTCTCACTCCCTCACAGGCCTCCTTCGGAAGGAGGAGCACTTCATGGAAGGTGGTGGCCCCATCCTCATTCAGCATCGGAGGGTGGCCGAGCACAAGGGCTTCTGGGGCTGGCTTGGCGTTTCCAGCTTTTGGGGCGCTGCGGTGGGCAGTTGCCCAAAAGCGGGTCGAAGGCCAGGCTGAGCTAAATGACCCAAGCGGAAGGAAGGTGGGAAGAGGCTTCTGTCCTCCTACTTATTCCCATAAAGCTTATAATTTTCTTCATTCGTTTGGTTAGGGCTTGAGAGCTAAATTGAAACCAGAGGTAAGCAGAGGATGGAGGCCGTGGTGATTTGTGTTACACATCCTTTTTTTCATCCCTGAGTTCATTTATCTCGGTTTCCCCTGCGGAAGGGATTATTTCTCTGTGTCTTTCCTCAGACAGAAAGCTGGAGAGATGTAGAGAAGACCTTCACTCCTTGAGACCAGAGAAGAGGGGGAGGAACAGAATAATAGGGGTTTTAGAGCAGGGGTCTCCAACGTTGGCCACTTTAAGACTTGTGGACTTCGACTCCCAGAATTCCCCAGCCAGCAAAGACTTG